GAGAGCGCGAATGAGAGGGCAATAGAAACATAGAGAGAGAGAGAAGGGGAGAGATGAAGAGGGAGAGAGAATGAAAGAGAAAGAGAGAGATTGAGTGAAACAGCATGAGAAGTTTTGAGAGGATGCGGCTGGTTGCCTCGGTTACCAGTCAGCTCGGCTGCGCTGTCGTCACGTATGCTATTAACAATGTGTGTAATCTAGTAGCATATAGTTAGCAGCCGACTATAGGCTGACCTCAGCTAGACCAGCGCCGTTGATTTACAAGGAGCCGAGAGATCAGCATCTGAAAAGCATCCGTCTCTATTTTTGCTGCAGGTTGAATCGATGGGAGCGCTGCACGCACACACGCACATATATATATGTCTGTAGCGTTGCTTCGTCTGTCATGCAAATACGTCGCTTTGCTTTGTCGGCTGTTTCACGATGGGATGTCGCATAATTGCGACTGTCGTTCTGTGTCGCCCTCGACCGCGTGTGTCTACTTGTGTAGATAGGGCTGAGAGTGTGTGAGTATATGTGTGTGGGCGTGAATGCGTGCGTGTGTACGCGAGGGACAGAGAAAGAGCAAAAGATAGACGCAAAGAATTAGCAAGCAGGCATGAGTATACACTAGGGAGAATGAGTGCAAAACAGAGAGAGACAGAGAAAGAGAAAGTGAGAGAGTGTGTGTGTGTGTGTGTGAGAGAGAGAGAGAGAGAGAGAGAGAGAGAGAAAGAGAGGAAAGAAAAATAGAACAAAGGTGAGAGATGTCTCGGGACAGGGAGCTAGCGAAAGAGAAGGCGACGGAGCGAGAAACGCAATGGGGAAGAAAAGGAAAGCGAGCGAGGAGCATGTAGAAAAGAGAGACAAAATAAACTAATGCTGCAGCTTCTCCTTCGCCAAGAGTATAGCAGCAGTGAATTCACACGAGACACCGCTACGCATGTATGCCTCTCAGCTTTAGCCGAGAGCACCGCACACACACACTCACCTACATTTCTGTCACAACTGTTGCTAACTCAACCAGCTAACTACGCGCCACACGTCCGTGTATTGACGAGCACCGAGGGAGCACTAATGCCTACGACGATTCATGCCGAAACTGAATTATGTATTCCTACAAACAAGTGATGTAATGCGCAGTGTGTGCGTACGTATGTGCATGCGCGCGTGCGTGTGTGTGCGCGCATGTGTCAGTTCTTCCTTGCGTGCGTGCGTGCGAGTGTTTGTACGTGCGTGCATACATCTGTATCGCGAGAGAAAGAGAATTTTGCCAATACACCCGAGCACGTACGTGGTGCGTGTGTGCGTGGGTGCGTGTGTGCGTGGGTGCGTGGGTGCGTGTGTGCGTGTGTGCGTGGGTGCGTGTGTGCGTGGGTGCGTGTGTGCGTGGGTGCGTGTGTGCGTGGGTGTGTAAATCTATGCGAGGAAAAGAAAGGGTATATACAGAAAATCCGTACGCGCGTGAACGAGAGAGAGAGAGAGAGAGGGGGGGATTGAGAGAGAGAGAAAAAGAGTGAGAGAAAGAGAGACAGGCGAGACATAAAGAGAGGAAGGGCAATGCACTACAATTAGTGATGGGTTGGCCTATTTACCGACAATTTTTTCATTTCAGTTCTTCATCACGTTGATCTTGGTTCTCGTGGGTGAGATAGGAGGCGGTGTCTACGCCTATCAACAAAAGGAACAGGTACGGTTAGACTTATATGGATAGGCTCGTTCTTAAAATAGATCTCTCCTTGTTCGTCTAGCCACGAAATAAAGAAATCTGTTAGAAATAGCTCTAACCTCCAGGGCACGCGTTATTAGGGACATGATGCGTGCAAACATGTCGTCATTGTTTATTTCGTAAATGAAGACAGAGATCTATTCTATATCCATTCTCTGCCTATGCTCTTCTTCATCTCCATTCCATATCTATGCTCATTCATACTCATATGGAGGCCTAGACGGCTATCACTGTCCCGATGACGTCACCGCTGCTTTCCGCAGGTCGTTGACGTCATCAGAGATTTAATTAGAGGGACAATACGAAACGAGTACGCTGTAAATTCTGCGCAACGAAGCCTAATCGACTACCTACAGAGAAAGGTGAGCCGAGCCAACATTGATAACGAATTGCTTGCATAACGGAACTCATTCTCATTTCACGATAGCTCGACTACTAGTAACTACTACGACTACTAGTCTAAAACCGAGTTGTCGTGAGTGCAAATTGTAAAGATTATGAAAATGTTCGTTGTTTTCTCACTGTGTTTCTATTACGTGGTCATCGTCTTGTCGGCATGGCATAGTTGGAGTGCTGTGGCAGCGATGGACCGGACGATTGGGTAGGGATCGTAGTCTACGACCCAGACAAAGGAGCGGACATTGGAGTCGACGAGAAAGCTCAAATAAATCAGGTGCCATTCACTACTGACCTTTACTGACCTCTATTAACATCTCACCGCTACTGACCCTCTATTGGCATCTATTAAGTTCTAATGGTTTCTATTGACATCTCCTTACCACTATTGACCTCTATTGACCTCTATTAACCTCTTTACTGGTCTTTTGATTTCACCCGTTATCTGGCATTCACCGTTTTTCATAGTGTTGCAAGTTTGTGAAGGATAAAACAGTTTGCATGCTGGCTGTAAACCGAATAAACTAGCATCTGTGTGCGTGCGTGCGTGCGTGCGTGCGTGTGCGTGCGTGCACCTGGGCGTATGTATGTGTGCGTGCACGTGTGCGTGCGTATGTACATATGCGTGAATGTGAGCGTGAGTGCGTGCGTGTGTGCGTACGTGCGTGCGTTTGTAATCCAATGTGAGACGGGGATTTCGTTTGTGTGACAGGCCCCAGCATCCTGCTGCACGCCCGCCAGTTTGGCTGCCAGCCCTGACCAGTGTGGCGTGCTATCCGATAGCGACTACCCTAATGTATGGACCGTGGTGAGTGTAACACGAAAGTCCGTAGCAACTTGGTCTAATATAGGTGGACTGCGTCTGCTAAGTATTCAGTTTGCTAAGCATCAATTCTGTCATGAGCATGAGGCTCCCCATCTGTCAGGAATAAACTGTATTTTGCGAGAGAGAGAAAAAACTCTCCAACGAATATTTTTTTAGTTTAGTTGCCTGACGCGGACAGAACAATGGGCGATTTAAATAATTCAGGAAAACTTAATAATTGATAGCAATAACACGCAATGGGAACGCTGTTGATATAAACACCACGGCGAAGCGGATGTGAATAATTTTTGCCTCACCTGTCCGCGATGTTTCGTATGCAGGGTTGCCATGAGCAACTAGGTGTGGCAGTGAAGGACAACCTAGTTCTCGTCATAGGAATAGCCGTCTGCATAGCAATACTACAGGTGAGGGGTACATTACCTGCACACGCAGTAGATGCACAGCATTACCTGCACAAACAGTAGATACATAGCTACATACTTGCATAAGTATATACTGCTGTAACGTGCTGGCATAGCATGCTGCTGTAACATGCTGCTGTGTGCAACAGCTCTGCATGCTGCTGTAACATACTGTTGTAACATGCTGCTGTAACATGATGTTATAACATGATGCAGTTACATGCTGTTGTAACATTCTGTTGTAACGTGATGCAGTCACATGCTGTTGTAACATGATGCTGTCACATGCTGTTGTAACATGATGCAGTCACATGCTGTTATAACATTCTGTAGTAACGTGATGCAGTTACATGCTGTTGTAACATGATGCTGTAACATGATGCTGTAACATGCTGTTGTAACATGATACTGTAACATGCTGTTGTAACATGATGCTGTAACATGCTGTTGTAACATGATGCTGTAACATGCTGTTGTAACATGATGCTGTCACATGCCGTTGTAACATGATGCAGTCGCATGCTGTCTTTACAACTCCATATACTGCCGTGCCACGCTGCTGTCTCAGCTGCTGCCACAGCCCAGCTATGATGTGATTCTGTATCATACTGCTGTTATATGCTGCTACAACGTGGCCATGTATATATGCCGTGTTTCTGTTACAGATCGCTGTCATGGTGTTCACGCTGACGCTATGCATCGGCTTGAGTCGCACTGAGTACGAGCCAGCCAACATCGAGAAATACTAACTCTCCCATAATTCCACCGACCAGCTCAACAACTCCGAACACAGCTACTAGGGGGCGGGTGTGTTCCGACCACCACCGTGGTCCGCGCAGACACGCACAACACATCGACGACGCCACACGTTCCCGAAACAACGTTGGGTGAAATGTATTTTGCGTAAATATCTCGTGCGTTCCTACCCGTGCAGCTGTTGATATTTGTTGCGAGACAGGCGTGGCTCGTCAAAATGCGATGGCAGAGCCTCTAGTGGTAACGTGCAGAGTTATATGTTATTGCAATGAACGGAAGCTGAAGTTATTGAGCCACTGTTGCGCCGGGTATGCTCTACGGTGGTTGCCAGGGGCCACGTACGTGAGTCATAGGGACCCTACAGTGGCTGATGCGAGCACGAGTAATACGCTGGCAGGCCTTGCAGAGGGTGAAAGACCCAAACATGGGAACTAGGCGTCTCTGTTGTTTAATATCGATTCCGTAGGAGAAAATCAAATTTGAGTTATTTATGAACTTGGTAATTGCATTGCTGTTATTTCAAGGTTCTGCAAATTGGCTCATTGGCGTTGGAATATTTAAGCAGAATGTACACACGCAATATATATATATATATATATATATCAACTTCAGAATCAAGCAGCCTCACGTGAACTTCTTCGACGCTCGACTCATCGATGATATACTCTAAAATCACAACAGCAAGACTAAAGAAATCGTTCGACCCGGCCGCCGCTTGTCCAACGATCTCGAAGCACTCTGTTTCATTCCTAAATACGGATAATATCGCGGTGTCTTCGTCGATGCCGCCACGCCAATGTCTATAAACGGCCATTATACCGAAACTCAGCCGTACCACAGACGACCCCGAGCCTGAATTCACGCTGACTGCCCACACCGTGCTAGGATCAAGAATTACAAAGCACTTGGCCTCACTAGACACAAAAAGGTCAACGGCTGCAGAATTAGTAAAATCACAATTTAATACCCCAACCCCGCCTCCCGTGCGGGGAAAAATGCATTGTTGGTGGAAAAATTCCCCTAAAAAAGAAAGGAATGGAACAATCATCCAGAAATAGCTTGTTGTGTTGCTACAGTGCCAATGAAGAGTGATGTTAACCGGTTAATGACGCTTTAGGAGTGCACTTAGTCAAAAAGAGAGCCACCCCTGATCTAAACCTGTGGCCGCCCCTACCCCGTCCTACCCTCTGGTGACACGGCCACTCCCTCTCCCCCCCCTGCCAACTTACAACCAACGCTTACATATCTCCGCTCCACCTCCCCTCACCTTGTATTGCTGTGCAGAGAGATGCGATCTAAATCCTTGAGGCCCGTGTGAATGTTTTGCAAGTGGGCTGGGCAGAGCGTCTCAAGCAGAATTGTGAGTACTGAACGTAACACGAAGAAGAGAAATTTAATTTATAAGCAGAGTTAATGGCACTCGTCAAGGTTTTAAAAACTCATTACTCAGACGTTCACATTGGTGCGAGTGGCTTTGGTCGTCTGCCGTGTTTCTGCCTCGGCTGAACATGATGCGGTTATCCGAGTGAACAACGGCAGAAGCCACATTACAAATTTGGGCGATGTTGGCGAGGGACGATTATTGGTAAGAATTTGCCCGCAACTAACGTTGCGTTTGGTGTGCAGAAATGCAGTAAAAACAGTTTTTTCATCATCACACTTGATGTTGATCCACTAGTGCAGCCAGAACAGAATAAAACACATTCTGACCCTCTATACAACCCACATACTTGAAGTGTATAAAATTCAATGTCATAAAATGTTTTTTGCTCATTTATAAAATTTGTTGGCACTTAACTACGCCATCCTATTTTTCTTAAATATTTCACGTGCAAGGTATATTCAGAACTAAAGTCTTAATAACTTGACATAGTATGAGTAATAGTTTTCTCAGGAGTAATGGTAGTCTGAATGTATCACTGTTTGTTTAGCAGTTTACACACAGACAATTACGTACCCTAAATTCGAATTGCTTTATATCTTGGATAACGACTAAGATCGCAATTGATTGTTTTATATGACATAATTCACCATTGCTTGATGTTATGCAACATAATGTTTATTACATTAAGCATGCGCACAATTATAAATACACAACAGAACAAAAACCATAGTTATCATTCCGTGAAAAACGCTTCACGCAAAAAAGAATTGTTGATTTGAAAAGAAATGTCGGTTGCAATTAATTACGCGTTCTAATGTTTGTGGTCTTCATAATGACCCAACATCATATTATTAGAGAACTATTAAGTATCCATTTACTGCCACCAATACTAACAATCTTAAGTTTATAGTTAAATGCATCAATAATTGGGATGACGTACTGTTCATACACATTTGTAACTGTCATCTCAAAATTATTAACACTATCAAAAGTTGCCTGAATGGAAACCACCAGTAATTGTCTCTTCCCCACATTACAAACATTAATAATTAAATTAACTATTAAAGATCCCGTAAGCTCAGACTTGTTTGCCTGACCTCACAGTCCAGAATCTGTTGCTTGGTTTGGTGGATCTCCCGGGGTGTAAGGCTGCGTGGCGAAGCCAACCCAAAGAATGCAGAGTTCTTATTATGCAGATTTCTAAGACATTCTGGCGCAGATTGGATATGTTTCTCGTATTGAGAGAACCAGTTGTAGACTCATCAAGACACTACATACCCCACACTACATACCCACACTATACACAATCACCCACACTTAACATGCACCACAATGCACCACCCACACTAATCACTTACATACATCATCCACACACAGTCAAACTACTACCACCCTCCACACTACATATCCCACTAATGCACAACCCACACTAACAGTCACCTACACACAACCACCCACGACTACATCCCCACACTAAATCACATTACACACATCATCCACACTAACATCAATTACACTACACACTGTACATTAAACCACCACATACATACTACACTGACATCATCCACACTACATCACCCACACTACACATTCCACACTATCATCACTTAACACTACATCACCTACACTACATCACCCACAAACTACATCACCTATACTCACATCATCCCTACACACATCACCCCTCACTACACCTTACCACTCCAGAAACCTCATCACAATACACCACCTCAGCACACATCACTACACCCTACATCACTACACTACATCACCCACACTAACATCACTATAACATTCATCCACACTACTACCTACACTAACATCACTTACCTACATCATCCACAATAACACCACCAATGCCTACATCACCTACACTACATCATCCACAAACATCATCCACAACTACATCACTGTACACTACATCACCCAACGATAAACTAGCATTCACCCATAACTACATCATCCCACCAGCTATTACATCTCACCAGCTCGACTACATTCATCCACAAAATACAAGAAGGCAACCAACCACAATAAATCAATCCACCCCCGCTACACACCCTACACTTACCCACCCAACTACACCCACCTAACACACACGAAACCAACCGACACACTACATCACCTAGCACTAAACAATCATCCAACCACAGTACCATACATCCACACTAACTCCCCCACATCCACCCTACACTACACACCACTACTACACATCACCCACAGGGCACGCCCTCAACATCACTTCCACACTACCCACTCACCCACAGGCTAGACCACTACCCACCCCCCCACATCATGTCCACGCAACCACTCCCCCCCCCCGCACTCGTACCAGATTTCATCACTACTACTTCTCGCACCCTTCTCACAAAATATATTTACGGACACGCAAATCCCACTCCCTCGCGATACGGTCACGCACGCTCCACACACAGTCGACGAAGGACGTCCGATCGAGCAAACCATGGACACTCACCGCCACGAGTTTTTCGGTGAGCCGAGTGTTGGTGGAGAGGGCGCTGTCGTCGATGATGGCGGCTTGCTGCATGACGGCCGCAAGCTCCGGCAATCTTCCCCTGGCAGACGTTCCTAATTCGAGTTTCTGCAGCAAGCACGCCGCCGTGTTTAGATGCTTGTTTAACAATGGTTAAAAAGCCTCCACACTCCCCTTCTCCTGTCACCAGTTGTCTAAAGCGGGGCAACGAAACGGACAGGGGGAGAGGGTCGACGCGGTGAGCCGTCGCACCGGCAGCGCGAGTGGGACGTAGCATAATCGAGGGAGCAAGAGGGGTGAGAGGGCGCGAAAGCGAGTAAGGAGAGCGGAGAGCAGAGAGAAGAAAGGAAAGAGAATGTGGTGGAAAGGAAAACTTCTACTGTTAATGCCTCCTCCTCCACACAGCTCAGAAGCACGGGGAATCGACGCGAAATGGAAATACAAGTCCGGAAACAGAGAAAGGACCTAGCGAACGACAGCGCTCATTTCTAACATCTATCGGCGGTGACTTGTGTGGTGGATGTAGGAAATTCTAGTAAAGACACCTGTTAGTGACCCAAATTGTTACAAACACGGCGGACCAAACAGTGGAATGCCAGCGGATGGTATCAGGACTTCTCAAAGGAATGTTTGTTGGGATGAGTTGATAGAAAGTTGCCTAAGGAGACGAAAGGGAAGATGGCGCGATAATACTTAAGTGCTTCAGATTAAATGTAAGCTCCCATCGTACATAGTAGACAACAACTATGTTGCAAGACAGAATTAGTAAGCCATGACCTTTACCTACGCAAGCCTACAGCTGCAATAGAGAAGCTGCCACCTGTAACTAATTAAGCAGCAAAATAGTTACAGACAGCCAATACCACACATGCCTTGGCAGTGGGCACTGGCAGATGGCCATACGTTACATTTGAAACGAAACGAAGTAAGAAGAAAAAAAAGAAGATACTTGAGAGACTAATCGTAATACTGACAGTAGCAGCAATGCCAATAGAATATTATAGTTTTAAAGGCGCAATAACCTTTCTTCAATCAATTTAATGCTTTTGAAATTCTCACTGTTGCACATTGCTAGCCTCGTTACATCAGGTCACTGTATAGATTGCTAGCTAGGCAAACGTGACCGGCAAGTCAAATGTCTTCCTATACAGACAGTAAACAAATCATGTTTAAGACGCCTCTTGAGGGTCAAACGGTTATCAGACACTTTACTCTTCGCGATGTCAGCAGAAGGGACATTTCATTGGTCCTTTCAATCAAAGCCATAAAAATATAGGTCACCGCTGAACGAAAAAAGTTTTCCCAATCGGCTTCCGTCAGAGCCATGTCCTCAAAATGTCTAAAATATGCCGCTGTGCACATCTGAACCTTTGAACCTGTGACCAATCCAATTTTCGGCACACTGGATGGCTTTTCGCTACCATCAAATTGAACCTAATACAGACCGACTATCCCGAGCTAGGGTGAGACACGCTTAGATTATGTAGCACGGCAATTCTGCATTACCTCCGCTATACAACTTAAGTTAAGGAGTTGAATGTTCCCCCTTCTTTACAAGAACCTCTGACCTTTGACCTTTGACCCAGCTTCGACATCCCAATCGTTTTGACGTCCTCCCCGATGTGCGCGAATATCGTGACCGTGAAAAATCGATGCGAAGACGTCGCGAAGAAAGTTAAGATTGTCCGG